AATTGCGATCGTAAAGCGCACGCATCAAACAGCATGGTTCTGCGCTTCGCACGATTTTGCATGACAACACATTACACCATGCAGTCCCTATGATTCGCAGGTGAACGGAGAGTGTGCTACTCGGTTTTCGAATGGTTACACCAATGTGATTAAATTGCTTACTGAAAAGAATTGACGGTTAATAAGAGAAAAGTTACACAGCGCATGAGGTCTGAACCCCCACTTCTAAAGTGCAAAACCAACTACTAATCCACTGCATTACTGTACCCCTTTTCTCCATAAGTTAGCTTCCAATCGTAGTGAGGGTAATAATTTTTCCTCGATTTTATTTGCAACTTCCTCGCGAGTCCACTGTGCTTAAAACAAGCCGAACAAACCGATCGCTGACAGTGCGAACAAGCCGCGACATTGCAGAAGCATAGCTGACAAGGCGGCTCAAAAGCGTTAGCGAGAAAAGTCGATGCGTATAAACGCATTACCAGCACTTGCGTTCACCACGCGAGGGGACTTGTGTGCGATTGCGGCTGACGCACTTGCCGAGTTCCGAGCACTCGAATACTCAGTACACTCAGTATAGTCAGGTAATTGTGACGCAGGCGCGTACGTCATGCCGGCGTTCGCCATTAACGACTCGCTTTAGTGCCTCAAGCAACTGGAGGTAGCACATTTCAAGATGAATGCGTCGACCGCGACGACAGCTGATGCTCCCGAGTAACGCAAGTGATGTCGTGAGGCGACGTAAATAATTAACCAGAAACGTAGTCAAATGGAAAAAGTTCGAAATGCGGTGTTTTAGGCCGAAGCCATTCGATTCGGATTTTCTGCTCGTAAGGCGCTTTGATGCTGTCTTAACGATTGTCGACGTAAAAGCGTATCAAATATAGGATGCGTCTGCGTGCGCTAATATGTGGGGGGGGGGGACGAGGTAGCAATGCAATGAGTCAACAGTCTGCACTGTACGTTGGAAGTGCCAGGCCCAAACCGAAGGCGTGATGTATGTTTGCTCACAGTAACCGAGAGTTCCCTTTGAGGAAACATTTCACCCCAGTGTGCATCGGTGAAGCCAGGAGAAAGCCAGGTGGCAAGTCGCTGACTTGCGAACCGTACACAATGCGGAATTTTGTACCTGCGGATCATTTGTTGATTCGTGGTAGAGGTCACCAAACGACGCTGGTGCAACGTTGCACAATGCCCGCCGTATCGTAAAGTCACAACCGATGTGACACGCAGCAAGCTTGCTTATGCGCACCGAATACATCGATACAAGATGAGTGACAGATTTCAAACCAACATGGTCATACATTAAAATTTAAAAATTATTCTGAATTACTTATGATGTGAGTTCAAACTTTCTTATCTGTGATAGCACTTCAGGTTTCAGTTATCACAATCAATGAAGAGTACTTACTGCGCAAACACCGTTTCAAGCACCACTTTATCTAAGGATCTAGTGTTTACTGGTCTTTGGCAATTACAGATATATCCGTCTGACTGAAGGTGTGTCTTTCAGAGAGAGCAAGTTGTGCAACAGAGCGTAGTACGACTGCTCCGGCCGGATTGCAAATGAGTGCTCTTTCATCCGGATATTCAGTTTTAGGTGTTTCTTACAACCACATGTCCTACTGAAGTCTTCGTACCGGCCGGAGTAGGCCGCATTCGAGGTCTCTGTCGGGTTTGCTGCAACGTATACTTATTGTATATAAGACTCGTCGGTGCCAGGCCTTCGAGACTCCTCCCTGTAATGCAACCTTGAAACCAATTTTGTAGGGGTACCTTGTGATTAGTTCAGATACTTGGAATATGCATAGCAAAATTAGCATACGTTTATTTTACGACGGCTTTATTAAGCTACAGCTGGGATGCAGAAATTCATGTGTACGGTGAATGCCCGATTCTTGTGGAACACGTGGTACAGGTGTTGAATTTTCTCGTCTAGGGCGGAAGCGCGCTTCCCGCACACGGAAAGGCACATTCTTCACGATATTACTAAACAATGATAGACACGCAAGACTCCAGGTGGGTTGGTTTCCGATAAACTGAAACATATTAATACCATAACTCAAGATATGGTCTTTTCTTGATTGCACAAAAAGGAAAGGTACTGTCTAGTTGACCTTTGGTTCGGTAGTACATTGTATTCGAGCCTCCCTCTCGTTGACATCATGTTCATTCATATAATTTGTGAAATTTTCAGTTTGTCTGTTGCAGGACGTTATCCTTTCGCTGGAATGAACAAAAGGTACTGTTCGCAAATCAGGCGTAAGACGTTGGTCGAAATGTTTGTAAAATTCATATATCAATCTATTAGAAAATTAAGCTTTCGTCATCATCATCAGCCATTTTCGATCCACTGCTAAACGGGGGATATTTTTTATGGTGCGCACTGTACCACTGCATACATATGCATCTGGAATCATTTCTCCAGTTTTGACGATATGCGACTTCAATACACTATGATATACAGGAGCTTAAGTGGATTTAGGTGCATTTCATGGCACTTACGTGGGTGAGAGCATCCTTGAGAGTAGCAGCTATCCATTGCATGACAGATTCTCGTAATGTCCGTGGTGAATTTCATAAACTAGATTCACACATGCCAATGATAATACCAGGACGGGGCTGTACCGAAGATCAATGGTCCCAGCGTCAGCGACTTTGACGGATGTACGAATTAAACAACAGTAGTTGAATTTCTTCGATCTGACATTGTCTTCCCGTCTGATTTGTCTCTATTATCCTTGCTTTGTGATTCCGTACGGGTTTCGCATGCGGTTCGTTTGTCCTTGATATTTTTTGGCTAATCCAAAGCTTACAAAGCAATTCTGTTTTGTGATATGTACATTGATTTGTGTGTATCTTTCCAACGTTCTTTCGCTGAAACATCTGATCTTCAGGGATCTGCTTCAAGCGTTGATTTTCATTCATTCATTTTCCAGTTCTGCCATGCTTCAACCATCTGCATGCTTATACCACGTTTTGCCAGCTTGCACGTTGGACCAGCATTTGGTACTGTAGATGGTCCACGTGAGGGCAGCTCATATTCAGTTTTGAGTTTTCTCTCGATTTAAACGAGGCTATTTTTATCTAAAAGAAACCGTCTATTGAAAAATATTCATTCCACTGAAACAGATAATCCATCTCCTTCTTCTGCGCTAATGGACGGAATTGAAATTTTCCATAACACTAAGAATTCGTTTAATGACACACAACGGCTCACAAGGTCGATTTGCATAAGACTATATATATTCGATTATAAAGCTCTTTGTTCTCAGGCAAATTTTTGATTTTTCCTTAAGTTTAATGACCTCTGTAACTCAAGAACATATCACCGGACAGTGATAAAATGTATTTGACACTTTCGCTATAGAATGCATGGGGCAACTCGATGTTTTACTCGCTCCGCTCGTCGACCGTTCTTCATATCAGTTGCGTGCCGCAATCAGAACTGTTTATTGACAACGTACGTGGTCTCCGAGTGTAGACCACCTCCTTATCATTTAGTGAAAATCTTTTACCTACAATTTGCTGACAGATGATGTGCAAATGAGTGATAAAAGTCTTGCAAGAAAACAGTAAGAAATCAACCATACTCAAAATTAAACCGAAGGTGTTAAAGCGGCTTGAATCGGACAGATGTCAGATGGACGTGGTCGCGTCCTATGACACTTTGCCTCAAGCATACGAACGGTCATGCAGGTTTCTGGGAAGATCAAAACATCTTCCAAGTACAATATGCAATTAAACTAACATGTTCGAGAGGAAAGCTGAAAGTACTGGTTACACTTGAGTTACTTGGATTATCATAAATTACATGTGGTTAACAAGCAGCAACGGCTTGGAGATCACATGCGTCAGAATTACGAGATGCTTTACTAAGCACAAAACAACGGAAATAGCTTCGACACAAAAATTTGCATATGAGTAAAGATCCTCGGTTAGCCAAAATACGGCGCCTGGTTTTTTGTCGAGAGGTCGAAGAATAATACGAATTGATCTGCTATGCAATGCAGTAATCATCGGCGGATTTTTACATGTGCCTTGCAAATTTGCATGAGATACACGACCGAGCGATGAGGTATAAAACTGGCAATTTTTGTGTCCACAGTTAGTACGCCTTGTACATCGCCATCAGGCACTCCTTGGTTCTGCTGGAACTCAGAAACGATGATAGACGAGCCTCTCATGCCTCCTCCAGCTGCGCCGCAGAAAGCGCAGTTCCTCGATGTATGAAGTGAGGAGCAGAAGCGAACAGGCGGACTCATGAGTCTCCAACAGTTTCGAAGAGGTGAACAACACCATACGCAAGCCAGGGGAGCCATGAATTTTTGAACATGGAAATTTTATCGATCTCTCCGAATGAGTTTATCCAACTGGTCCTCGTTCGTTTCGCCTTTCGCCTTCGGTTGTGGCGATCTCCTGTGCTTGTAGCTCTCTTCTTCCACAGCTAGTCAATGAATCTTACTAACGATTCGTTCCAGCGTGTGTTGGGACATGCGAGAGAAAGGTTTCCAGCCGGTTGAATCCAGTGCTTAGCTTGTGACATCCTGGCGTTGTGTTCACACGGCACGGTGGACGTCGGAGAGCACTGGATTCAACGTGTGTGCACTTCAGACGTGATCACGGAGCATCACCTTGTTCCATAGCTTCTTCCGTGTCTACGAGTTTCCTTCCGTTCTTTTTGTTCTTTTCGTTCTTTTTGTTCTTTTTGTTCTTCTTATTCTTTTTGTTCTTTCCGCTCTTTTCGTCCTTTCCGTCCTTTCCGTCTGCTTGTTCGTTAGACTAGCATTCATGCTGTACATCTTGTCCGTAAGGACGGTACAATCGAACTGACCAAGCATGTTCAATATGGTTCAGGCAGACGCATGCCGCCGTCCTTCTTCAACTGCTGATTTCACCGTCTAGCGAGCTCGCCTGATCCGCTTGATATCACAAGCACGCATATCACCGTTGACGGTGATGCAAGCCAAGCCCTAGGCAGCGCTCGTTTCGTCTGCGCTTAATATCTGAGCGCTTAGTCTCCAATCTGATGGCGTGAGGTTCTTGCACTCATCAGAGCTTCTGCCGCTGGCCTACCTCATCCTGATCAAAGGTGATGTTGTAGTTGACCATCAAGCACTACTTGTTTCCTTTGATTCTGCTATCGTTACCCAGTACAGCCGTTTCAGGAATAACTGCAACGATGCAGCGAAGAGCTACGATGAGATTATATCTCTTCGCGCATTTCTTAATGTGTAAGAATTTGGTACAGCTCTTTGGACAGATCTGAGTCAGACGCACAATCATATGAGTTAGCATGTCCATAATGGCTCCTCTAGAAGAAAAATGAAAATATCGAATTACTCAGTACAAGCTAAGCAGTCGGAGAAACTCCTTTTCAATGCAGCTGGTAATTTTAGGCTCCTAAAAACGTGGAGCAGCAAGTCTGTGTTATAAAAATTCAGAAAGAGGATAAAATCATGAAGTAAGGGTGATCTTCACCAATTCAAACTGCATTTGCACTGTTATTCTTTGAGTACAATAAGACACAGGGGAGTGTATCTGTTCAAAAACAAACCTAAGCTTCTGATTAACAGTACAGGCAGATAATGCGAGCTTGAGAGGAGGTGGACATCACTTGGATATCAAATTTTACGTAATGTCCTTCCGTAGTGTTACTTCCACTGCATCAAAACAGTAGGCGAGTGATAACTGGTTCTCAGCGCGATTGACGGTCGAGTCCATACACTCTGACACGATCAAGCATACTCGATCAAGTGTATGGGACCTCACTTACCAACCTGTCCCACCCGCATGGAAAAATCCTCCAAGGTCAACTCATAGTTAAAATTGAAGCCATTATTTCCAGAAGGCTGAACTGCTGCCGATTAAAACGGCCGCTTGAAGGCAAAACGTGTTAAGAATACCCAGGTTACGGTATACTAACGCTCGCAATGTACAATGGCATTCGTATCCAGTGGAAACAATGCGTCAGGTGTCGGAAGAAGCACTGCGACTTTTCGAAGTTAGACGACGGATGTGGGGCTATTAGAGCTTAGCAGTGGACACCTCCTGTTCTGCAGGCGGTCGGCAAATGGAAGAACACACGGAAGAGAGTTCATCATCCGCAAAAGAATAAACAACATGTTGACAGCGTTTACAAAAGAATGTGTAATCTAGGTGCAGGGAGTTTCGAAGAGATGAACTGCAGGTCAGGCGTTGAAAGGGCCAAAGATTTGGCTTAAGAAATAAAAAAGTTACGAGAGCATGGAAGAAGCCATTACCAGTTCATCTTCTGGGATTTTAACGCTTAGGTAAAATCGCAGCGAGGAAACGAAAGTGCAGATTTCCGATTTGAACACATCGAAAAGAACAGTAATGGTGATCATCAAGTAGAATTTGCTAAAGGGAGCAAGTTATGAATTACAAATACATTTTTGAACAATAGCTTCTCTGGATTAAGGACGACTCAAAGATTGCAAAGAGAATGAGACAGCAGCGGATGAGAAATCAAAACTCGAATACGTGAAACTTTGCAAAACGGTACGGAAACGGAAAAGTATTTATCGGAATTCAACGAAACAATTGGTGAAGCAAACCATTGAAGATGACAGAAACGGGAAGAGGCTTAATCAAAGATTTGCGGCCGAGAAACGTCAAAGCTTGCTTCTCAAGGACCTGTGATTAGGGACAGTGAAAAATTCTAAGGAGTGTGGAAGGTCTTGGTAGCACACTGTAGAAAAAAGAATACGGCAACCTTGGTGACAGTAATGACTCTGAAAAAAGTGGAGAAACTGCCAGAAGAGCGACATCCAATAGTGCAGACGAAAGGACCAAGGGTTCCCAGCGAAGACAGCGTTACCGCAAAACTTATGGAATCAAGATCAGGAAGTGAAGCACTGGCCAAGAGATTAGTGCGCCTGTTGTCACGCTCTCGGAGGGAACTAAAAGTTCGAGGCAATTTGACTACCGGTGATTGAACGCTAGAAGAATGGATCAGGGAGACAACGGGATATGAGGAATACATGTTGACCAGTCGGTTGCAATTCATCTGTAAGCTTTTCACGAGGTACTGATAGATTGCTTTTGAGAAAATTTGGTATCTGCACTG